CTGCCCAGTGCCGGGGGAGCGCCATGGCCAGGAAGCGCAAAGCATCGCCCCGGCCGGCGGCTGCCAGCAAGAGGCGTTCCGGGGGCCTGGGGGCACCGCGGGGCGAGCCGGAGGAGGAGGAGGAGGAGGAGGGTGAGTGCGGGAGGAAGGACGGGCCGCGCCGCTTCAGGCCTCTGGTGTTTGCCGGCGGTGTCGGGGGGGCGGGCAAGGGCCGTTCCCTCAGGCTGGAGCCGCGGGCAAGTGTCTGCGCAGAGCCGGGGGTTCGGTTCCGCGTGCGGGGAGCTCTGGCGAAAATCGGGCGCTGAGTGACCCGGGGAGGGTTTGTGTCGCCTCGGCCGTGACCCGCGGGTCCGTGTCCCAGGAGGTGCCCGGAAAAAGGTTCTCTGGAGCAGCCTCCCGAAATAATAATTTCTTGTGAGTGGCAAGTGCGATGCTTGTTTTTCAGCTGACCCACTGGCTGTCGGAATCTTTATGTACTTTTTGTGCCTTACATTATTGTATTTTCTTTAAACAGGTTGTTCAGTTCTTACAGATTTATGCTTGTCATTGTGGGTGCTTACTTTTTCCTGTAGGTGGCTCTAATGAAGTCTGTGGAAGTATTGTTTCTGATTACCATGGAGATGAAACTCATCCCTTAACATCTCTTCTTTTCTTCTGTCCCATGCAGGTAATTTTGAAGAGAAAAAGCCCAGTGTAAAGAAGAATGATTCAAAAGCTCCATCTAGGAAGAAGGAAGAAGATTATGATACTGGAGTTTCCAACTCAGCAAATAAGCCTTCAAAACAGAAAGGGGCAAAATCACTAATAAAAGAAAATAAAAAAAATACTAGAAATAAAGGGAGTCATAACAAAGAGGAAACATGCAGGTATGTTTACTCATCATTCAAGTCTATAGGAACTTTCTCTTCATGTTATTTGTTTAGAGCCTGGTGCTGCATATGTGTGTGTCAGCAGTTTATTTTAGGCTGTCAGTCCAATTTAGTACATTTGTGTCACACAGCTGAACAGAAGTACTGTCTTATTCCTTGCAGAGTCAGTCCTGAGGAAGATAGTCTGTATAGGAAGCAAATATGTGAGCCTTTTCAAATACAAAATTTTATTTCATTTGTTACAGTTTTTACGCAGGACTAGGGAGGCAATATGGAATCCAGCATTAATAGAAATGTTGGCCTGAGATTTGGGTTTAAAATGATGAGTAGAAATCTTCCAACATAGCGATCTCTGGTGGTTTTTGGAATCCAGATATAATAGCATGGTCTGCCCGTGTAGACTGCTATAACAAATGAATTAATAAAAAGAAATGAAACTGATTGGTCTCAGAAACATTTGCCAGTGGGTGAGAACACCGAAACAGTTGGTGAGAACAAGTGATTTGGTGAACCATTTCTCCAAGTACTCATTTGTACAAGTTGTTGTGAAGGATGGGGCCTTTTGTAGGTTCCAGGCATCTTCCTTTCTAAACATCCTTGCGGAATCAGAACCTAAGTTTGAACTGAAAAAATGTTGCTCCATGAAGCCCTTGGTTATTTATGGCAAAGATGGTTTGCTTTACAGAGAAGCAAATTGTGGTTTAATTGTTAAATATTCAGTCTGTTGGTTACTGATGCAGAGGTCATGCTTCATTTATTTCCCTATTTTTAGTGTGTGCTTTCTCTATTTTTCTTAATTAAACAAGCACCTACGTTTCCTGATGCTAAAACCATTTTGATAATTTTAACAGTGACTCGCTGAAGCCCCCTCAGAAGGAGATGAAGAGAGAATCTCCTGTTAAAAAAGAGATGGATGAAGACAATACTGACAGTGATGATGATGAAAGTGAAGATGAATGGGAGGATGTGGATGGTAACAATTGCATATTTATTCATTTTAAGGAGTAAATATTCTTATACACTTTTGTGATTTGATTTTTGAACCATTTCTTACTTGCATTCAGGTAAACACATTCAGGTATACTTTGTATATCTAAAGTATACTCCATGTGCATATCTGTATCTTTAAAAGCTCATATCTTACAATGCTTTTAGAATGGTTCCAAAGTTAAAAAAAAGCCAGATAACTACTGACCTGATGATACTAGTGCCTTGAATATGACTATTTGTTGGCTTATGTTAAAATTATGCTACCACGTACAAAGCACTTTCTCAGCTGTTTGTGTTGTCTAGTATTGAGCAGCTATGAATGGCTCAGTTTGAAGATTCAAAACTACAACTTCCTAGTAAAGGAGAGTGGAGATGAAACCAACTGAGCTGTATGATTAGGTGGTCTTAAGCAAGCTGTGATAAGAATCATGATGACCATCCTATTTTGCTGCTAGGGATTTATGCCTTCTAAAGTGAACAGCTGTCAGTTTTGTTCTTTGCTACTCTGCAAGTACCCTGCAAGTCACATCTGTTTCATTCACCTGTCTCTTCATTGAGTTTGCCTGTGGCAGCCACTTGCTGTTAGACTGTGCTGAGCTGATTCCTCAAAAGCAAGTGGCTGGTGGCCCACAGTTATTTGAAATAACTGAGCACACACAGTGTTACAGAAGATCCAGGAGCTGGTAATTACTAGGGATGTTCTGTATGTAGGTTGTTTGAACATGTTAGGTAGATTCTTACCCATTGTCACATATCCTTGGGGCATCTATTCTATGTTTACTTATCATTTAGTAATATTTTATTTTTCCAGAACTCCAGGAACCTGCCACAGATAAGTTAGAAGAAACAGCTGTTCTTCCAGCAGTGGTGCTGCCAAGCAATCCTGTTGAGATAGAGATTGAAACGCCAGAGCAGCTGAAAAACAGAGAGAGGAGGTAAGAACAGGGAAGACAGTGGAGGGCCATTGAGGGATGTAGTTAAAAATATGCTCAGTCTTGACTGTCACTGACTTGCTGTGTTCTGCATGGAAATCCCCACTTTGTGCAGGCTATTGAGTTGGAATGATGCGAGGTCATGGGATGGAGAACAGTTTACACATGACAATTTTACCAGAAGTCTTCAGTGGATGTTGGTGGGAATGGAGGCTTTTCAGCCTCTTAGTTAAAAGATTTCATCAAAGAAGAGAAAGACGTTTTTCCAGAAATCTGAACAGAATGCTAGCTGTAATCTAAAAGTCAAACAATTCAGACAGTGAATTTTAAAGTTTAGGATGGAGCTGTCCAAAGCTGTCTAGTAGGAAACTGCAGGCACATAAAGTTAGGTAGAATTTAGGCCTTCTGAATATACCCGGGCTCTCAGTAGTCGGGTAGATGGAGTTCACAGTTCATTAATCATATGCAAACTGCGTGCCTACTCACACAGGCAGTAGCTAAACTTTTGTGAAGTTTGCAGAGAAGATTCTCTTTGTGAACTGATCCAGTTCAGGAATCTAGAAAGGCAGGTCCATAGAAAACCCACAACATCCATTTCTTTTGTAATCTTATGCAGAGAAAAAAGGAAAGCTGAGTTTGAGATGTATCTACGGAGAATGATGAAACGTTTCAGCAAGGAGGTTCGTGAGGACACACATAAGGTATTGGTCACAGAGAAACCTGGCAGAGAAAAAGTTGAGCATAAGGATATCTGAACTGATTCGTAATGAAGAAGAAACTTAATTTTGATCAAATAATTTGGGGCCATGGCTAGAAGCAAAGAAATAAAAAGGATGTAGTCCTGACAAATGCTCGTTATACTTCTAAACTGTAAGCTAGAAACATTAGTGACTGCATTAGTAAAATTCTAAATCAAACCAGATGTCAGTAAGGTGCATATTTATCCATTGAGTGTGTATCTGCTCGTTCTGTCGGGGTTAAAGTGTCAGTCATGTAGAGCAGGAGGCGCTGACAGGGACTTCACAGCTTTGCTGTCTTCTGATGGTAATCTGCAGGCAGCCCGATGTCCACCCTGTGTGTGCCTGGGAGGCTTCACTGCTGCTTGTTTTGGTTAAAAGAAGCAGTGAAGCCTTCCTTGTCTATACCATGGACAATAATTCCAGCAAAGAAAATCTCTTGTGAACTCACTATAGAAACTTTTTTTCTCTCAGGTTCACCTCTTGTGTTTATTAGCAAATGGTTTCTATCGGAACAGGATCTGCAGCCAGCCAGATCTTCATGCCATTGGTCTATCCATCATCCCCACCCACTTCACAAAAGTGTCTGCAGGCCAAGTGGACCTCCTCTACCTTTCCAACTTGGTGAAATGGTAAAACTCTGTCTCCTAATCACGCTATCATATAGAATGTAGAGCCAGGGTTGAGCGAGAGGGGTAAATGGAATTACCAATTTTCAGTGATTTTTTTGATTTTAAATACAAGGGTGAGAGTCTGTCCTTTTTACAGAAGGAAAGGATGAACTCTGAAGTTTAAGAACACAGTCACAAGCACTAGACAATATGTCTCATATTTCAGGTTTGTTGGAACCTTCACTGTCAATGATGAGCTTTCCACCGAAAAAGGAGAGCCCCTGCAGGCGACCTTGGAGAGGCGCTTTGCCATCTACGCTGCACGAGACGACGAAGAGTTGGTTCATGTAAGTAGCTGGCAAGTGCAGGGTTGGTTGCTGAGTTTGGATGCTGGGTCAGTGCTGTAGTGCTCTTGGTTTGCACACAAAGTGGTGTTGGAGGGATGGATTTGAAGAAAACAAACAGGTGAAGTAGGTGATTCTGTGGCTTTTTGTTGTGGTTTTATCTGTAGTCCTTCTGTGATTAAATTATTCCATTTGAACTGTGCCTAACTGGAGCCTCTGGTGCTGGTTGGTGTCACTGTGTGCTCTGCATTCTGCTGTGGATGGCTTTATGTATAGTGTATAGAGCTACTTGTTCCTAAGTATGTTTTGGCTTCTTTATATTGCTTTAGCAGTGTAGATCAAAGAAAACCAACTTACTAGGTTTCTTCTGAAATACGAATTTGAGTGAAGAAATTCCTGGGCTTACTTGCAGCCAGAGAAACTCTTTAGAGATCTTTGAGCTGAGGGTTGATAATTTGTTACTA